TGTTATAGTCCGTGGATCAATTAAATTATGAATTAATCTGGTTGGATTAATTCCATGTTAAATATAAAAGAATAGTGACCAATGTATCACATATATGACAAATTTTTACATCATACCACACGTATAGTAAAATTTGTCAAAATATCATGTGTATAAGTTCGTTACAGCAGGTAGCGAACTACATTTGCTGATGTGGCATCTTTTTGATGGCCACCTAGTTCGTTACTTTCAGGAGTAAACTACGTGATAATTAATGTCACTCTGCTATGAGCATTTGCCATGACACGTGACAGGCACAGAGAAGTTCACTACATGGACCAGCGAACTAGATGCAACGGTCATAAAAAAAATAGTCTTTGGCCACGTGTCTAACGTAGACAAGTTTGCTACATAAGGTAACGAACAAAGTCCAACGAATACCCACCTCAACCCTACCTATATAAAACCCCCATCCCACCCCTCTCCCCACACCCATTAGAAGATATAATTTTAAAAAAAAGAAAGATAGGATAGAGCCCATGTGGAGTTGTTATTATATTAGCGAGTGAATTATTTTTTATGTTAAAATTAAAATTTTGAATTATGCTTTATTTTTTTATTTTAATAATTTTATTTTAGGTCTCAAAACCTTAGGTTATAGGACATGTTATTTTTTTTTGTTCCCTTAGGATAGAGCTCATGTGTAAGATTGTTATATTAATTTATATAGACATTAATATGTATGATAGTTGGTGAATTATTTTATTTTAAAATTATGTTTATTATTTTTTATTTGAATATTTTTGATTTGTGGTCTCCAAACTATAGATTTTTCTTTCATGTTATTGCTACTGTTTAGGTAAATAATCATAAATCAAATTATTAATATAATGTAATTATTGTAGTAAATAGATCCATGGAGCATGATGATTGTCCATGTCCTGATTCTCCGCGGAATGCGATAAACCCAGGACCCTCTGATCGTTCTCTCCTGACATTATAGGAGAAACATATATCGACGTATGTTTGGAATACGTTGCAGGACCCCGATGTCCAGGATCGTGTGCTAAATGTTAGACAAGTTGCCACACACGATCATTAGGATATACCCGAGGACATCCCGCCGTTTCTGATTCAGGCTGGGTTCTATCACGTTGCGTGTCTGCGCAACCATGATGTTAGTATATTGTTCTTGTATAACCTAGTATTAGAGTGTTGTGTTTGTTATTATAGTGTTGTGATTGTAATATTTTACTCAAATCATGTCGTTTTGATTTCAGATCGATCATGCACTTGTATCGACATTTGTCGAGCGATGGCGCCTGGAGACACGTACATTTCACATGTCGATGGGTGACGTTACCAACTTACCATCACCCTCGAGGATGTACACCATTTGTTGGGTTTACCCACAGATGGTGAGGTTACCTCTTCCTCGGAACTGTCCGTACGCCCAACTAGATCACCTATGTTGTGGGCAGGGATCATTTCTGAAGACATTGGTGGGGGTGATGGTGGTGGGGGTGGCACATACCTATCTTCAGGGTTGACCAACGACTTCCAGTTAATGTCAATCAATTGACTGAAAATGAGGGAATGTTGAGTGATTGACTGTCCACCGGAGTTTACTTCCGTATACAATTCGATGAATGGGGACTTTCCATGCTCTCGAAATGCGTCTACTATTAATGCTACATCTTCATCCTCGACAACCTCCACAGAAATTCACTGCACCGGGTTACCTGAGGCGTATCTAGCAGTCAATCGAGAGAAGGATTGACTCCATTGTAATCTCAACTTCTTGTATATTATTTTCTTCAGGTCATTATAATTGCATCGAGAGCTCATGTTCCTTCAAAAACTTGACCATTTGGTCCAAAATATCTCCTCCAATTATAATATACAATAGCGAGTAAATCATTGTTACTCTTACTTATTATGTCAAATTACAAATACAATAAATAGAAGAAAGAAAAAGATACTGAGGGTTCTTAAAAAAAATGATAAAGACTTTAAGAAATGGAACGTAGAGAGAGCATGTGGGGGGGGGGGGGGGTTGGGTATAAATAACACTAAGTTCGCTGTAACACATATCGAACTCCACCACGTGTCAAACACTCATAGTTCGATGTTCCCCCAGCGAACTTGTAGAGGGCTGTCGCGTGTGTCCTTTGGCACCTAGTTCGTTGACCCGTGCAGCGAACTAGATGAGATGCTGACATATCACATACATTTGGCAGAGCGGTTGTACCTAGTTCGCTGGCCCATACAGAGAACTTTTCTGTGCCTATCGTGCCCTAGCAATTCCTCAGAGCAGAGTGGCATTAACTACCACGTAGTTCATTCCTGGAAGTAGCAAACTAGGTGGCCACCAGAAAGACGCCACTTCCGTAAACGTAGTTTGCTACCTACTGTAGCAAACTTGTACGCATGGCATTTGGCAAATTTTACTGTTCGCGTGGTATGTTGGTACAAAATTCCAAATATGTGGTACATTGGTCACTGTTCCCAATATAAATCTAAAATAATATTTTGATTAGTTTCCCCATCAATTTCTTCAATAAAACATTTATACCAGGATGAATTGCATATGAAAATTGACCACAACGAGGGAGTTAAGTGTAATTTAGGATATGTTTGGTACATAGTATAGGATAAGGTCTGATAGTATAAGGCCTGATTGTATAAGACCTGATTGAATTTTAATACTATCCAGCGTTTGGCACGGTATTGTATAAAATAATATATTATATAAGATAATATCATCTAGTATTTGGTAATGCACTGTATAATACTATATATGATAAAAATAAATATTTTTAATAAAAATATCCTTTAATAAAGAATTTATATAATTCTTCAATAAATGTCATATGATATTAACTTTTATAAAAATTTATTGATCAGTGTGTCCAAAATATAAACTAATTTTTATAAAAATAAAAATATTCAATATTTTAAAAATTAATATATTGAAAAATTAATTTTTATTTTAATAGATTAATATTAAAATAATATATTAATTTTTGAGAATTACATTGGTCAACGATGTTAATACATCAATCTCTTATCAGGCTTTATCCCTCACCCGTAGGCTGGATTAAGTTATACATCGTTTTGATGTATTAAGGGATTATGTTGTATAAACTTATACTATACGATGGTCACACCAAACAATTGAAAATGTCATAACGTATAGTATAAGCTTATACTATCATGCCTTATACGTCACACCAAACAAGCCCTTACATGGGTACCGTAAGAAATCTTAAGTTTATTATATTTTATTGTAACGAATATATATATTAATTTTCTCATGAATATATTATAAATGTATAAATATTTAAATTGTACTTATATTTATTTTTGGAAATATATTTAATTCCCTTCTTTATTTTATAATTTATTATGAATGAAATTTATTATTATAAAAATATAGGTAGGATTAAAAAATATATAAGAATGTTAAAACTCAACAAATTAAAGAAAAACTTGCAATTACAAAAAAAAAGACATTTAAATAAAAAAGAGTAATATATTGAGTTAAGTCATTGTTTAAAATATGTACTTAAAAATAAATATACATAATTTAAATGTAAAAGTAATATAACAAAATAAGTCACTGAAAAATCCAATATAGAAATCGTCAACGGTGCGAGAAGGATATATAATGGCATTAAGCTTCCGGTGGAAAACCGTTTACAATCATATACATATAAGAGAGAGAATAATTGTGATGATTTTGTTGTGTGTGTATAAATAAATACATAAACATTTATTAAATCTTCATAAAATATATCTAACTATTATGTACATCTTGCATAAATATATATATAATGTATTTTTAAATTGTAATGGAAAAATCTTAGGTGTTTTTCGAATAAGAAAATGTTTCCCATTTAATATAATATTTAATGTATGTTTTATATATTTTTTTACATTTAATAATGGAAAAAACTAGTCTACAGCTACAGGAGATCGGTTTAATTTCCAGCATAAATATTGTTATTTGAGCTTTGTTTTTTTTTCATTTTTTTATTTTATATTTATATGGGTTCCACCACATGATTGTGAGAGTAGTAAGAGATATCTTCTCTCATTTCGATGAAGATTAATAAAACCCTTTAATAATATAAAACAAAAGACTTCCCTTAAATTTCCAAAAAACAAAAGACTCCCCTCGGTCAAAACAGCACATAAAAAGTATATGAGGAAGTTGATTTGGAGTTGAACAGAGATATGACCTGGCGCATGTTGACATGGCGCAGCCCACAGTGGCGGACTTCGGAAAAAACCAATGAAGTAAAAGCACATGTTGAATTTTGTTTTGTTTATTATTATTATTATTATTTTTGGATAAACTATTGTATTCTTCACGAGAGGCAATCCTGTTCAAGGTGGGTTCATGATCAAAACTTTAAATTCCTTCTAAATATGGTACCGAGGAGAATCAAACGGATACTTTGTTTGTATTATGGACTTGATAAAGACTCATATTTTAAACAGTCCAATAAAAAATAACAACAAAGAAAAGTCATTAATGATAATCCTATAATGACACCTGATGTAATTGGATTTGGGCCATTAAAGGTCCAAAAACCCAATACCTATATAACACTCCATAAATAAGAGATAAAACTTACAAGTATATGAATAATCTCTCTTATATTATATGTTGTCAGTGTGCACACACCATCCTATTTGGTTAATATAGTTATGAGTTGTTTGATCAGTCATCTCAAGTTATTTTTTTCATAGATACGTGAGAATAATCGATCTAACATATACACATTAGTGCATAGATTAGACATCTCTTCTAGACAGAACGTTTTATTTTTATACTTTTAGTTACCTCACCACCGCCAGCTTCTCCGGTCTAATTATATTTTATGTTTTCAGAGTCTTAGTCTTTCCTTAATCCCAATAATGAATGCAATAATGTTTGTCTATATATATACACCTAGCTAACATACATATTTTGGCACTTGATTAATTTTCTCTCTAACTCTGACAATATACACATGTATATGGAACCAGAGCATTATTTTCCTTCTCCTTCACTCTGCTTAACCAGGTAGGCTTTGCAATAATATTTGTGCTTGTTTTTTATATACAAAAGCAAATAGAAAAATTGTTCTTCTGATGTGTGTATGTGTGTTAACTGATAATGAATGAAGGTGGTGGTCGAAGGAGACAGTGGCGGTGGTGACTGGAGGGAACAAAGGAATAGGGTTTGCACTGGTGAAGCGCCTTGCCGAGTTGGGACTCAATGTGGTCTTAACTGCCAGAGACACACAAAAAGGGGAGGCTGCGTTGGAGGCTCTCAAAGCACAAGGCCTTTCTTCTCGTGTTCACTTTTTACTCCTCGATGTCTCTGATCCTCTTTCTATCACTGCCTTCGCATCCTCCTTCCAAGCACAATTTGGAGCCACCTTGGATATTCTCGTGCGTATAATTCATTACCATCAATTACTTTATTAAATTCAATATCTATATATCTTCTTGGTACTTCTCAATAATTAAATTCAAAACAACATATACCATATGAAACTGCTTCTTTAAGAAAATATAAGGATCTAATCAAATACTATAAATTAACGATGGATGCCATATAATACATATGACTATGATCAGGTGAATAATGCGGGGGTATCATTCAATGAGCTAGACGAGAATTCGGTGGAGCACGCGGAAAGCGTCATCAGAACCAACTTCTACGGTCCAAAGTTGCTAATTGAGGCTCTCCTCCCCCTCTTTCGTTGCTCTACTTCTTCCATCACTCGTGTTCTCAATCTTAGCTCTAGGCTCGGCTCTCTCAATGTAATTCATTCTAATTTCTTCTATTTCATTCATTCATTCTTTAATTTGTTTTAGGGTTTGTTTTTTCTGACGTTACTTTAGATAACATTATCTAATGTTCATCAAAACGACGTCGTTTTGGGACAGAAATCATAGTATTATTGTAATTTTAATTTATTTCAGGGTTATAGTTGTCTTTATCACTCTAATTTTTTAATTTTTCAACCCCAAAACAACGTCGTTTCGATGAACATTAGATAAAGTTATCTAAAGTAACATCGGAAACTTTTTTCCCTTTGTTTTATTAGTTACTTGATCATAACAGAAAAAGTGTTTCTCTTGAAACATAAGATAAAATTTTCTACTACAACTTTATAACGACGTCATTTTATGTTTAGAAAAAAAAAAGGATAATTTAAAAATTTTATTTTTTCTTGAAAAGTGTTTGTCATTTTAAATGACATAAAGTTATCTCATTTTAAGAGAGAGATACAAAATAATTTTTTTTATTTAAAATAGAAATTAAAAAAAAAAACCCACTCATTTTCTCTCCCATGATTTTTATTTTTTGTGTCTATCTCTCTCCTAAAATGACACAACTTATGTCATTTAAAATGACAAACATCAAATCCTTATACTTTTCCTTTTATATCATGAAATTTACTTAAATATCCAATATTATTTTTTCCAAATCCCAAAATGATATAGTTTTGAAATTGTAGGATATAACTTCATATCATATTGCAGGTGAAACGTCGTTAATCTCATATATACTACGGGCATGATTATTTTAAATCAGCATAATTTTTATTTTCAATCTTGGCTATTCTATTTACATATATAACCATTTGCAATTTATTAATGTTGAATATAGTTAGATAATTATTCTTATAAATGTGCAAGTGGATTGATGTATCCGCGTATGACAATATTAATATATGCCATACCATGCATGTTCCAAATATAAAATGGCATATTATATAATATTGTATATTTATATGCAGAAGGTGAGAAATGAGGAGATAAGAGGAGTTCTAGCGCGTGAGGAGTTGTTGGAGGAGGAGATCGAGGGAGTGGTGAGAATGTTCCTAAGAGATGTGAGGAATGGGACGTGGAAGAGGCAAGGGTGGCCATCGTACTGGACGGAATACGCGGTGTCAAAGCTGGCTTTGAATGCATACTCGAGGGTGTTGGCGAAGAGATATTCGTATGAGGGAAGTGGGTTGAGTGTGAACTGCTTTTGCCCTGGCTTCACCCAAACCTCCATGACTAAGGGCAAGGGCACCCACACCGCCGATCATGCCGCCTCACTTGCAGCCACACTTGCCTTGCTTCCGCCGCACCACTTGCCCACCGGAAAGTTCTTTTTGCTTGGAAAGATGAGCACCTCCCTTAACACTACTGCTACTTCTAAACTGTGATATCCACCTAGCTATTCTTAATGAACCTCTTATCTATCTATCTATTGTTATTAGAGTAAATATTCATTTAGATCCTTCACAAAAAAACACTGACTCTATTTTACATTTTTAGAGAAAAAAAAAGTGGATTTATGTTTCATTTGAAGTTCTAGTTCTTTAAAATTGTGATTCTTAAAAAATTTAAAAAAGACTTGTATTAATCTTTAAAAAAAATTAATGTGAATATTTTTTTTTCGTAAAAAATTAAAAGAGGTTTTGTATTTTTTGTTGAGGATAAAAAATTATTTATTCTTGTTATTATTAGTGGGTTGCATTGTAGCATTGTATTTTGGGTTTTATTAGTGTTATGTTACATGATTTAAGTGTTGTTTTCAACACACACAAAAAAATGGACAGAGAAAGTGGAATGATGAGAGAGAAAGAAAAACATGTGGACCCCACGTTTTTAATGTGTGTGTAGAAAAGTGATGTTATATCATGTTACATGATAAACATAAAACCCTTGTGTTTTTGCACAAACACAAGTAAAACACTTGTCCCGAGATGCATGATGCTAGTTCGTATTAAGTTATCAAAGTGTTACTTTTTGCTAATTTTTTTACCCAAATGTCATATGAATAGTATTTTTTACCAGACTGCCACGTGTTATAATTCGCTACTACTGGTAGCGAATTTTGTGGCCAATGATTTTGTGACACGTGGCCATATTGCAGACCGAATTCGCTACGACTGATAGCGAATTACGACACGTCATCTTTTTCCCGTGAAAGAATGCCACGTGTCATAAAATCATTGGCGAACGTAACTCGCTACCAGTCGTAGCGAATTACGCCCATGTGGCAGACTGATAAAAAATACTGTTCACATGACATTTGGAAAAAAATTTTTGCCAAAAAGTAACATTTTAGTCACTGTTCCCGCACCAACGACTAATAATAAGGCTCAGATTAATGCACACTTTCCATATCACATAACAATACAATGATGACATTAACAAATTACAGTTTTTTTTTTTTTTAGTTTTCTGAAGGTATTCCCAAACCGATAGTCGAATATTAATTTTTTCGAGGAATAGTAATCACTTAAATATTATTATTTTTATTTCTCTATCCCTTTACTCAATTAATCCAAGTCAAACTATATAAGATCATAAGTGGTTGAACTAGAACAATTGCATATCAATTAATCAGAACCAAATATAAAAGGCTAAAATATAACTTACCCCCCTTAATTTTGACCATGTTTCAAATTACAATATGTGTTTTTAATTATTTCAATTAAACCCTCGTACTTTGTGATTGTATCAAATCAACCTTTTTGTTAAAATTTTCACAAATGATGTTAAATCTCACATGCTCAATTGGTTCAAACAAAGGAGAAATAGGAAGGAAAAGATACTGTTAAGAAACCATAAATCAAGAACCTAGAGAAATAAGAGCGAAGAACAATGGAAAGTCGAAATCATGGCGTGATTGGGTTCATTTAATTTGGCCAATTGTGTTATCTTTGGGGCAAGAGCCAATTAAGATGGATTTATCTGGTTCCTTCTCCATCATAGTGGGTCTATATACATGTCCCAATTCTGCAAGAGCCATTTAGGCAGATTTTGAAGAGAACACATAGCACCATGGACCAATTATGCATGGACACGGACACGGGACACGGGACACGACACGACACGACACTCCGACACGTTAATTCTAAAAAATGTTAAATTTCGACACGTTGGGACACGTTTTGATATTAAATAATATTTTTAATATATATAATATAATTTACTAATATTTAAGATTATAATTTACTAAAGTAAGGAGTCTACCTGGATAAGAGTTTGCTGTGCAATAAAACATGACTCTTTTTTTATTTTTAATCATCGTTTTCACCAATAACTAATTTTTCTAAAACAAACTCAACAATTGTTTGGCTATCTACTAAGTTATTATTTATATATTGTTAAAATAAAATATTTGTTCTTAATAAATGATTATTTTTTGCGTGGAACACGAGAAATAATATATTATAAATGTTGACGGTGAATCATAATCTATTATAAAGACTTTTGATTCTGTTTTGCTATGCATATCTTACAACGAGAAATAATATATTATAAATGTTCAACTTTGGCGTGTTGTCAGTTAGGACTCGTATTCCAAAACACGCCACTGCCTTTTGAAGGGTTGCTTGCCATGGTAATTTCCTTTCGTTGAAGATTCTAGTTTTCTTACCAGAAACCAAATAGAAATACTGAGCCTATGTTAGTTGGATGGGAACGAGAAAGCACTGATGATATCCTATTTAACAGAAAAGGCCGATCCAAGCCTGTCCTGTGTTGTGCTACCTTGTGATATCTTCGAAGGTGGAGATGCAAGGTTCGGGTCGGGTCATAACCCGAAGAAGCTCTTCAAAGAGAGACTCATCGCAGGGTATCGCGAGGGAACCATGGTTGCAGAACCCGTACTCTTCCTCCGCTGTACCAGAACCTCCGCTTGACGACCGACGACGAGAAGAGAAGGACCAGCGTGAACGAACACGAGAGGATAGGTTTCAGAGTTTTTGATTTTTATTAAATATTTTTTATTTTTTTAATTATAATTTTATTTCTTTTTTACAAAAAAAAAATGTCCAAACGTGTCCCAAAACGTGTCCACATACGTTGACCGCGTGTCGGATTCGGTCAAATTCGCGTGTCCTACTAGTCAACGTGTCCTAAAAAGTTGACCGCGTGTCGGACGCGTGTCCAAACGTGTCAGAACGTGTCCGCGTCGGACACGTGTCCGACACTCATTTTTCTCCAAAATTAACGAGTCCGTGTTTCATAGCCATGGACTATAAAATTGAGCGCACTAATTAGAAACTAAGTAGTCGTCTTGATAAGATTGCGGACAATAGAATGAAAGATAGAAACCAGACTTCAAAGGATTTCTTGTCACTTATACTAAATGCCAAAAAATCAAAAGTTGTACTAGAAAAAGTCCTCACCCTTGATTACATTACTGATGTGTTACTTACGAGCATCTACTTACTGGGTCAGCAACCACGTCCTTCACTTTGTCTTACAGTGTATATTTGGTTGCTGGACATCCAAAAGTTGAGAAAAAGCTACTTGAAGAGATTGATGGGTTTGGTCCAATAGATCACACACCTCTTCTCAAGATCTTAACAAGTTTCCTTATCTTGATTAGGTTAGTTGAACTGAAAAAACTCAGTCAAGTTTGAAGTTGCAAGAGCCTAGCATATAGCTAGAACAAGAATGAACCCGATCAACGTCACAATTTCCACTTTTTATTGTTATTCGCTCTTATTTCTCTAGGTTCTAGATTTCTGATTTCTTAATGTTAGAGAAATATATAAACCATTTATGGGCCTTCACATGGTTTACGAGCCAGCACTACCAGGCTCAGCAAACGAATGGCGTTGTCAGAAGTATATAAACACTAAAAGTTTTCAAGGTTGCTCGATGTGGGACATAAAAACGCAATGAGCACAGCTGGTCTTCGCGGTGCAGAGCTATTGTGACATTTTCGTCGTTGATTCCCTTATTATCCTATTTAGATTGTTTTCTTTTGTGTTTTGTTCTTGAATCGCTTCTCCATCTTTCTCTTTTTGCATGCAAGTCAATTTGTGAACCCTAATCCCAATTTTTGAAGTTTGTAATTGTTCTTAACTGTTCACCTTCACATTTTCAGGCATGGCATGAAGCCATCAAGCTCACCAAATGATAGGTGCTACCATCGTCGTCCACCTCCGGATCACCATTTAAGGTGAGAAAAAATTTCGCTGTTCATTTCTTGTGGGTTAAGGTGTAAGAAAAATATCTTCTAAAATACATGTGACAAAGCTGCTGTGAAGAAGAGGTATATTCTTATGTTTATGTCCCTTCCCACAAAGAGACATATCCTCTTCCCTAATATGAGAATCCAGGAAGAAGATATGTCTCTTTTGAGTATTGTCCAAGATAAGGGCATTGTGGGAACTGGATTGAAATTGCTGAATCATTGGCGGCCACAAACAGGACTCCATTTCAATGCTTCGAAATCAAAGGAGCTTAAATCCTTCCATGCTAAATAGTGAATGGACTGAGGAAGAAGATGCTCAACTTTGTTCTGCTATAGCATATTTTGGTGAGCAAGATTGGCAGTCTGTGGCTTCTGTTTTAGAAAGGTGGACTGGAACGCAGTGCTCAAATAGGTCAGTCAGTTGTTTGGTTTATTATTTTTGTAATTACATTTTACATATGATCGTAAGTCTATTAACTTAAATCAAAAACAATTTTCTATTAGCCTATCCCACAAATTAGTGAGGCTCGTATAATGAAATAGTTTTGAAGGCCCATCATAAGTAATTTGAAATCAATTTTTTTTCTCAATTGAATAATTATGGTTTGATCCTCAACTGCATGACTTCTTTGTTTATATAGTATTCTTGTTGAAAATTGAAAGGATGAGAGAAGTATTTATCCTGCTGTAAGTTGAGCGTCAAACCTTTCTTTTGGTGACAGAAAATAGTAATATCTTACCCTGTTGTTTTGGACGACGATGGTAGCACCTATCATTTGGTGAGCTTGATGGCTTCGTGCCATGCTTGAAAATGTGAAGGTGAACAGTTAAGAACAATTACAAACTTCAAAAATTGGGATTAGGGTTCACAAATTGACTTGCATGCAAAAAGAGAAAGATGGAGAAGCGATTCAAGAACAAAACACAAAAGAAAACAATTTAAATAGGATAATAAGGGAATCAACGACGAAAATGTCACAATAGCTCTGCACCGCGAAGACCAGCTGTGCTCATTGCGTTTTTATGTCCCACATCGAGCAGCCTTGAAAATTTTTAGTGTTTATATACTTCTGACAACGCCATTCGTTTGTTGAGCCTGGTAGCGCTGGCTCGTAAACCTGAGCGGGGGCTTTATATACTTTTGGGTTGAAATAGCTCTTTACATGGTATCAGGGCTTTATGTCACAGGTTCAATCCGCACTGTCCCTCACTTTCTCTTATAGATTTTTTTAGTAGAGGTAGTTGGACCTGTGCATTATCCAACTTTCTTGCACAGTAGGCTCTCGTGTGAAGTGACATGTTAGATAAATATATAAACTATTGATGAGACTTCACTTAACAGTTCAAGCTTTTGGTTAAATTAGTTCTTCACACTTAGCTTCCCTTTTTCCTTCTTGTTTCTCCTTTATTTGAACCAATTGGGGTTTGGGCATGTGAGATTTAACACCATTTGTGAAAATTTTAACAGAGATGTTGATTTGATACAATTACAAAGTATAGGGGATTGATTGAAACAATTAAAAGCACAAGGTGATAATTTGAAACATGATTAAAGTTCATGGGGGTAAGTTGTATTTTAACCAATATAAAATTCAAAATGGATACTAATTAAATATAAAATCCCAACTATATATAAATTTTAGATAAATCCTAACCAAATAAAAAATCTTAGCTTAATAATATTTTCTTAAAAAGTTCTGAAATTTTCAAAAATAACGTAATATATAACTTTGCTTGTCCATAGTGCATCACAAAATCTTGACTTTATGCTCCTAATTAAACAATAGCTCAATTGCTAAAAAAATTCACTCAACTTAATTTCTTGAATTTACCAAACCGTTAATATTGACTCTTTAAAGAATATTGTTTTCACATGCACGATGGATTAAACTAACGCTAATCTGCAAGGTTTGATAAATTTAAAGAGTCGAGTTATTGAGTTTTAATCTTCTTTTTCTGAATGGATCTATAATTAGAAGGGTTACAGCATTTTAGTCAATATTAAATGCGCATACCTAAGGAAGAAAAAAATGTGTAGAGTAATCTCTTTTTCTTTACTTCTGTGACATGATTTTCAGAGCAATTCAAACGCACTCGAGAGTCCATTTTAATACCACACACAGCACCTATTAAGTTGGTTGAAAATGGTTAAACTAAAGTCATGACTAAAGCCCATTAGCCAAAGGAATGACTGAGCCCAATATGAAGCCCAACTAACTACACAGCCATGAGCCATTAATTTTCGGAGTGGTAGTTTGGTAATTTGAATTATCGCCGCACGAAATTAGGGTTAACCGTTCGCACGCAGGGCCACTCAACTTGGCCGTCTATAAAAGGCAAAGCATCAGAACCCTCTGCACTATCTTCCTTAATAACAGTGTTGTGGCTTCTTCAAAATTTAGGTTAGGGTTCTTCTGTTCAAGTTTGAATTCTTCTTCTGGATCTGTGTGTGTGTCTGTATTAATTTTTTGTTGTAATTTTATGAAAGCCAATTAGCAGAGCAAGAGCGTCGATAAAAAATGGCGCAGCTTGCCTTGAAGGTTGGCGAAAACAAATAACAATGGCGATTCTCCGTGCCTATCAAATTAATTTCGTTTTGATCATGGCCTCGAACAAGTCGCTACATTTAACATCCTCCTTTAATTTTTTTTTTCTTTTTTAAAAAAATACTTTTTTTGTGCCTGATCTTCATTTTTTCCCCTACTAATTTCTTTTTTAATGTTTTAATTGGTATTTGTTACTGAAGTTGCATTATTTTTTTTAACTCTTTATGTTTACTCCATTTTATTCATTATTTGTTCGTGATATTTATTCATTATTGGTATATGTGCTATTTTCTCCATGAAACTTAAAGGAGTTTTTAGATTTTTGGTAATGGCTGCAAGTTTTTATGTTACAGAATATTGGAATGATAAATAATCGAATGGTAATGTGGAGAAATGGCATTTCCAAAGGAAGATTTGTTGTGGTAGCCATTTGGACTCCTCTTGGTTTGGGCTTATAAAGTCAATTCCATTTTTTCAAAAAATGGATCTTGGAAAAGAAATAATTTACATTATTTTCGCAAAAATATTAAAATTTGTCTAAACTTTTGCAATTTACACATCAAATGTCCGCTGATTTGAGATAAAATTCACAAATTGGACTAATACATCAACTTAAAATAAAAAGAAAAGTATATGTACAAAAAGAAATTGAAACATGCAAACTTTAAGGAGCAAAGGGTAGAAAGGTTTTAAGGAAAGGGTAGGGGTGTCAATATGGGTTGACACGACACGAATACATTAACATGAACATGACACAAATTTTTATTCGTTTCAAGTGTCAAAATTTTCAACATTGACACAACACGAATTTTGTGTAGGTTGACACGACACGAATTCTCGTGTCATGTTGCGGGTCGATCTGCGTGTCAAAACCCATATTAAAACCCCTAAGAAAGGGTGCTTAACCCACATTGAAACCCCTAGGAAAGGAGATTATTTAGTGTGAACCGGGACCACTATTTTTTAGGTGGTCCCTTAGTGTAAATAGGAGGGTAAAATCGGAAAAGAGGAAAAATAACATGGATAAAAAGGGAAAGAAAAAATTAATAATGTGAGAGGGAGTACCAAAAGATTCAGTGGTCTTGGACCATATTAAATATTTTCCTAGGAAAGGGTGCTTAGATGGTGTGCTCCATAAAATTTACCTTGGATTTGTTTGACATTACGAAGATGACATAGTTTACATGTTTTAAAATTTCATCCCACCACCTTAGTCATTGACCCTTGAGGGTTCGCCGCCAGATCATTGACCCCATCTCTGAGACAGTTAGATCTTATTGCACGCTTTTGTTAACTCCTGAAATTCCCTGATTGAACTCGGATAGAGCGGTCATTTTTTTTTTAATAAGTATGTGCAAAATGACATCATTTGATCATTTGATATGTAAAATAAAAAACAAAACAAAAACTCAGATTTAGAATTAGATTTGAAATATGAATTATTCTTATTATTTTCTTCCTCTTTTCTCTCAGATCTAGACTCAATTCTTCATGATCCGGTGATCTCCTCTATATGTTGGTTTTTTTTTCCACCTTTAATTTGTCATTTTTTCTCTCTTTAACGTTAATTTGTTATGCCACTACTTTTCTTCCGCTATTCTCTTTTTGGTAAGGGATCTTCTTTCACTTATTGTCATAGCTGAAGGATAAGAAGAGCCTAAGTTTGATGATATAATGATCTATTGGAATATGTGTTTTATAATTTGATAGCTTGTGAATATATATTTATATTTTTATAATATATAAAATCGGATCATCAAAGTAATTCCGTCACTCTCCTTGAATCAATGATCCCTTACCTTGCCGCGTGGATGGCCCGACTTGATTTTTAAACACCGGTTTACATGTTACACCTTGAAGTACTGGAAATTGCAAATGAGGGCTTGAAAAAAAAAAAAAAAAACAGCTCTTTAACCACTACAAAAAAAAAATGGCTTCCTTCCTTGAATCCTCATTAATGACCATAAATGCAGCACCGTCAAACATGACTTGCTTCGCTGAAATCTGTTGTGAGATACTCCTTGTCGCACCGTAACTTTCATTCCGAGTAAATAATAAAAAGGATAAAATATTATTTATTTAGAGGATTAACCTTTTTCCTCTCAATTAATTCAATTAAAAAATATATTCTATACATTAATCTCCTATAGATAGAAAATTTTAAAAATATTGTTAACCTGCGTTTAAATTTGTGTATTAGTTGAAAAACGTAATTATCTCAAATAGTTCGAGTATAATTGAATTAGTTTCTGTAAAGAAAAATATAAAATTTATTTTAAGATCATTTTAAAAGTTTTGAGGGGTATAGATTGATAGATTCCATAATCATACGAAAAATTAACACGGACAAATATTATGTTAAAAAAAAGAGAGATAATTTCTCGGTGAGGATGATTTCCCTTTTTAAACATAAACCCTATGGTGATATTATTATTTGTATGTTGTTTCATATTTTTTTTTTTTCAAATTAGGATTGGTTTCTTTTTGTTTTGTGAAAGGCCATATACTTAATGGTGTATTAGATTAGGATTTTAAAAAATTATTTGAGGATTTTAAAAAATTATTTGAGATAAAAAAATCTTAATAGATTTTAAAAGACTATATAGAATTGTAGTAATTTTAAATACTTTTTTAAAAAACTTTTTTTATTATCAAGATTTTATAAGATTGGGTTTTAAAGGATTTCAATAGAATTTATATGATTTAAAAGGATAATATGAATTTATAAGATTTTAAAAAATCATATGAATTTTTAACACACATTCAAAATTACAAGAGTCAATAAAAGAAATAAAGAAATGCAATGATATCAATAAAAAAAGTAAAAAGTAATATAATTTTCTCAATCAATAATTTGATGTAACTTGATGTTCTATTAAGTATCAGTTCTTTACATATACATATCTGTACTAGCTCTTCACGCATTAGCATCTTTTCATTTTTGCTCTTGGGTTTGATCCATGGATTGAAAATTATCTTCTTCATTTGGTGTCAGAGTTATGTATATATGATTATAAGACCCACGAATTTTTTTAAATAATTCAAAATTTGTATATAGAACTTAAAGTTCATAATAAAATTTTGTTTGGAATTTTTTGCCATTGATCTTGAAATCATTGGGGTTTTTGTTCTAAATAATGAGAGTTTTCAAATCATATATCATATGCATGTTTAATGCATTAATACTTTTAAGTTTATTATATTGTAAATGAGTTGTTGTAATTCAGAATTTATAAAGTTGATGACATATTATGAATTGTCAGTTTCTTTGTTAGAAAGAATTAATAAAATTTATCTATAAAATAATTCGTGTATTATGTGTTAGAACTTAGAATCTGAATTTCTTAAGAAAAGAAATTTGTTTCCTTAGACACAATATACATGATTGAAGTGTTTTAGGTAAAGGAATTTATTCTCTTAAAAACAATATACATGATCGGGAAAAAATAAATTGAGAAGAATAACAATGTCACAAGTGTGCGAGATAAACCTATAATAAAGTTGTAAGAAAGTTAGGTACCAAAAAAAATAAAAATTGTAAGAAAGTCGTTTATCAAAAAAAAAAAAAAAAAGTTGTAAGAAAGTAGAAATGACTTATAAAAATTAAGAGAACAAAATTCAGTTAATAAAGAATAGAATAAGTAAAGAGTCATTGAATGTCCCTGTGACGAAAAGGTGTTACAAATCATGTAAAATGAACCCCATAGCTTAGACTCAAAATAGTGCAAGTGCCTAAGTTGCATGAATAGGTAGTAATACAATTGTCCCATTGATCACGTAGGATACTACCACAGGCCAAAATTTGAGCCCATCGCTGTTATAAGCTTATGGAGCTGGCGACCAATAGATCAATTGTTGCACATAATTATCCCCCATGAATAGGTTTCTAACCCAATTTCATCATGAAAGCCACGTTCACTGCCCATGATGAGTGTCTAGCCCCTTGGCAGCACTTTTTTTATCAAGCTCATCACATGCACAAAGCTGCAAACAGTTCAGAAGCCTTTTCAATAATTCCTCTGAAGGTGTGTTCCTACTTACTACTTACCCTATTATTATGCATGTTTGGCACTTCCAGATATTTCCCAATGTCATTCCGTGCTTCTAAAGCCTAGAGCCTTTCTTATTTCTTTTCTTAACAGTCATATCTTAGTTGACAACAATAGAAAAACGACTAATACAACTTAGTTTGTGTACAAAAATTCGTGACATATAAGTTCAGTCTTAGGCTAAATTATTCCAGTTTGCTTAAGTTTTTTTGCATTTTTAAGTAGGTTCAAATACTTAAAAGAGGGTTTTTAAACTTTTAAAATTCTTAAATACATTCTTGTAATTTAACAAATTCTTCAGTTAGATTTTTACTATTGATAAAAGAGGAGGGGAGACTAAGAGCCAAACATGTTTTTTTTTTTTTTAAGCTAAAAGTTATTTTTAAACTTACGATAAAAAAAAGTTAAAAAGTAAAGCTAAAAATTATATGATGATTATATAAAAATTATATGATGATTATATAAAATTACCCAATGTGTGCAGCTCAGTTGGTAACTTGGCGCTGAGTTAGTGGGGTTGGATATGTGTTCGATTCCCGCTGAATGCATTCTTGGGGAGGGGGCTGAACCTTTAGCCATCACTGTTCCCCCGCACTCCGGATTAGTCCCATAGCCGGCTCAAAGAGTCGAAGCTCGTGGGGATACCGGAGGGAGCCAACTCGTCTCAAAGAGATAATTAGGGTTGGGTAACTCCAAAAAAAAAAGAAAAAAGGGAGATGAAATAATTTATTATTAAGATGCATTATTAGGGTAAAGAATAAAATTAGTAAATACAAATTGAGAATAAAGGTAAAACTGAAAAATATATAGAACTCTAAAATGCTAGTATATATATTTAAAAAAATCTCCTCTGGGGAGCTTTTAGTTTTTTTTTTTTTTTTATAACAAGAAGCTCTTTTTATAAGAAGAGCTTTTGTAAAAGTATGTTTGGCTAAATTTTTGTTTATAAGGAGAAGAGAAATTAAAAATAAGATTTTCCAAATAAATCCTAAAAATAATTTTACTTCTCATCTCAGCCGTTGATTTTGTTCA